ATCTTCCAAGCGAAAGTGTTCTGGTTCTTCTTTAGGAAAGCGATCAGTTTGGCTCAGAATTCTTTGGTCAACCCAGATCCTATATTAACAAGCTGATCCGGATGTTCGTCGTTTATGATTACTGCTTCCACGAGGTCACTGCTGATTTTTCTAACGGGATTTGCAGGAACCTCGAGATGTGGTTGCTATTGGATCTTTAGTTTAAAGCCGGTTATGTAGCACATTCTCGCTGCTCGTTGACTTCCAAGAATCTGTTCCACCCCGGTCTTCGTGGGAAACTTGATACACTGGTGGTAGGTCGACGGAACTCCTTTCATCTCGTAGATCCAAGGGGTGCCTAGGATTACGTTATACGCAGCTGGCCGATCGAACACCGTGAACTCGATCATTTTGATAATTCCTTGAGCTGATACTGGGAGAACTATCGTTCCTAGAGACATCAATGTCTCACTTGAAAAAGAAACCAATGGTGATGGAGGTCCCTTTATGTCGTGCTTCGAGATACCCATTCTTGTTAGAGTATCAAGAAAAATCAGGTCTACTGAGCTCCCTGTATCAATGAGGACTCGAGACACTTCGTTGTGCGCAATATCCAGAGTTATGACTAAGGCATCGTCATGCGGCTTGTCCAATTGATCGGTCTCGCTTTCAGAGAAAGTTATCTCAGGTAGCTGTTCTTGAGACACCTTGGTTCTTTTAATAGCTGGGGAGTTTGCTTTTCGTTCGTACTGTTTTATTGCACTAATGGAGTCGCGAAAGAGTTTTGATCCTCCCATTATTACTTGAATCTTTTTCTTTGGACCCTTGGAGGAGTCCGCCGACTGAGCAGTCTTAGGTTTTTTGTTCGGAGGAGATGCTTCTTCTGGATCCGTTAACTGCCCAGAGACCGGGGATGGCTCGAGGTCCGAGACATCGATTTCCGTAATTTCACCAGATGCGAATTTGGCCGCCAGGAGTTTACCCAGTGCTTTGCAATCTTTGGTTGCATGTCCCTTCACCTTGTGAATCTCGCAATAGGCGTTCGGATCGCGAACCCACTTGTTGCTCGGGAAAGCTTCATTCTTCTTTTTGGGTGAAAAAGATTGCTTCGCGGGAGAGTTCTTTGGAGAGCTTTTTGGCTCTTCCCGATCTACCGAAAATGTTCCGGCTCCGAGCTTCCGAGTTTCAGCATGAACAGGTTTCTTCTATGGAGGAGGCTGAACTTGTTTCGGAGCTCCTTTGAATTTTTTAGCTAAAGCAGCTCGCTCCTCCTCAGCATTTATCCAGTTCGTTGCTCGATGAAGTGCATCTTGGATAGTGGCTGGTCGGTTGACAGTCAATTCCTCCCGGAACCGAGATTCGTGCCACAAACCATTTGTGAGTACGGCTAGAGCTGCGAAATCGGACAGATTCGGGATCTGGACCATGATCTCCTTGAAAGAAGTGATGTAGCCGCGGAGTGGCTCCCCGGCTCCTTGTGAAAGATTCCACAGCTGGGCATCGGTCACGTCGCTCTTGATAAAATATTCGTACTGCATAATGAACGCAGTGGATAGCTTCTTGAAGCTATCAATCGATCCTTCCTCCAGCTGGGTGAACCATGTCAAAGCCGGTCCGGAGAGATTCTCAGCAAAGAGCTTGCATAAGCCTGCGTCCACCTCGTGAGGTTCCAGATGTACCCGACCTGCGGTTACCTGAAAAGATGTCAAATACTCTTTGGGATCCCCCTTGCCATCATAGTCTGGGAGTTTAACTTCCCTTTGATCACGTATTCGCAGGGCCGCAATCCGTGGAGTGAACAGAGTCCTCCTTGTTTCCTCGATCACTCTATCCACCTCAGGAGCTGAGCCGGTAGCTTGATGAACCTTTGAGCTCATTGCCTGAATTTGATTCTGCAAATTCCGAATTTCCGGATTAACTGGAAAGTGAGGTGGGTTGATCTCGGTCTGCGAATGACGGGGGGTGATCTCCGGAAGATTAGGAAAAGGCATCCTGACAGTTCCTGCTGGTGGCGAAGCGAAAGGGCCGCCAGTTGGGACTTGAGGTGCAATCGGATGATGGGACCCGCCTCCGGACTCATTCTGAAAATCCAAGGGTAAAGAGGTTGGAAGAGCTTGACTTGAGGCAACGATTCGTGGGTCTCGGTCTTCCGAGGTACTTGGATCGTGAAAATTTAAACGCCTCCGAGGCCCAGCAGTCCGCAAAGTTCCTGCAATAATAGTATCAACCCGATCTGCATAAGCATTATGAGCTGACCTGACTTCGGAACAACATGCCATAAGGACTGCGAACTGGCTGTTGATGTGCTCCTCGAACGCGGTGAGCTTTTCGGACAGAGCAGTATTGGCGAGCTGCTGCTGATCGGTCTTCTCGGATAGATCCTTAAGCATTTTCTTGATCTCGTCGAGGACTGAGGCTGGATCCGCTACATTCGTCATCTTCGATCGATACTCTAGAGTAAAATACTAGAACCCCCTCCTTCTAGCGCTAAATTGTGGATGTCAGAATCCGCAATACAGAAAATCGTGGTTTTGCACGGGTCTCTAGTCTCGGCAAATATGAATATCGACTTTAAAGAAATACAAATGTTGAAAAAGTAGTGTTTTGATTGTTTAGGAAAATTTTCGGTCCCCCTTTACAATGTCTTTACGTCCCTATTTATAGTTATGTGGTCGAGATCCGGAGTCCTTAATCTCGCCGCAAATCACGTCTTCATTTATTGTGTCCGTTTCAAATCTTTTCGAGTTAATGAGTCCGCAATTAACGTTCCTTCTTTACTCCGTGAATTCGTTCCGTTACGCTAAGTGAAATTTAAATTTGAATGGGCCTAGCAGATGGGCCCATATGTTTCTGGGTATTCCACCTAATAACCCATTTCTTCTTTAAGGCCAATTAGATGTTTGGGCCGAATCATAAGCGAGATCCGACACCAACAGTTTTCATATGTTCAAGTCAATTTCTTTGTTACATTATTTCCATTAGTAATGTTTTGAATTTCTTTTGCTCAAACAAGATTTCTCTCTTCAAATAGTTTTGTCATTTACCAGCTTTTTTTCTTCTCTTGCAAGGGTTAATGGGTAATAAACAATTATTTGTGATAGATTAGTAGGAGTCTTGGTTTATGTATTAGCGTTGGTAGAGTCCAGTGCCGGCTCTAACCATGTGCTAGGTGTGCAGATGCACAGAGTCCACTTTTTTTTTTGCTAATTTTTGTAAATAATTTAAGGCCCTTTTCTAAAATATATATGTTTTATGTATGAAAATTAAATTATATTATAGTTTTGCACAAGGTCAATTGTATTGCTGAGACGGGCCTGGATAGAGATAATGGAGTTTTCAAAGATAATGGAGTACTCTGTGGCTTGGTAATGTCCATGTAACTTTTTTGTTTAATAATAGAAAAATACTTTGAGAATAACTTATGAAGATATTATTCAAAAAAAATAACTTATGAAGATAGAATACTTTTATGATTAAATTTTGTGAAGGAACATGCACCAATAACACAATATTTTAATTCAGTGACAAAATAAGTTTCTTTCATAAATTTTGAATAACTCAAGATTTTTATTGACTTTATGAAATCATTGATCCAATAACTCTAAATTTATAAAGATTTTGGAATACTTTTTTCAAATACATAAACTAACAATACCAAACTTCAATAGAGTTTTGGAAAATCTCAAACCAAAAACACTAGAATCTTTTCAACATTTAAATCTTAACCATCTATCTAAATACACAAACCAATAACACCCCTTTGGTTTAGTAACAATTAAATATAATATTTTAAAAACTATAAATAAATTTCGTTTTTGTACTTGTCAAACTATATAACTAGGATATGTCAAACTATATAACTAGGATATGTCAAACTATATAACTAGGATATTGACTACTGACTAAAAGTTAAGCGCTGCCTCGGGAAAAGGGGATTTTCATACCCGTACTATCTGCACCGTGGATTTTCATACCTGGACAATTTCGTAGGGTATTTTACAACCTAAACTTCAATAAAATTTGAATCTCATACCTATACTTGATACAACGGGTAAAAATCGGAGTCAATCTAACGGATGTTAGTCAACTCCGTTACGGTGCTGAGTCATCGTACACGTGTACGCTGACGTGTATCAAAATGTTGTGGGATCAGTTGGTATTCGGTGCTTCCCATGTGAGTACAGCTCGCGGGTTTGAGTCCCCAGTTTTGCAAAGAAAATTAAAACTTTGAGAACACTTATCAAAACGACGTCGTTTCGATACGCACCATAACGGAGTTGACTAACACCCGTTAGATTGACTCCGATTTTTGCACGTTGTATCAAGTATAGGGTATGAGATTCAAATTTTATTGAAGTTTAGGTTGTAAAATACCCTACAAAATTGTCCAGGTATGAAAATCCACGACGCAGACAGTACGGGTATGAAAACGACGTCGTTTTGATACACGTCAGCGTACACGTGTACGATGACTCAACACCGTAACGGAGTTGACTAACACCCGTTAGATTGACTCCGATTTTTGTACGTTGTATCAAGTATAGGTATGAGATTCAAATTTTATTGAAGTTTAGGTTGTAAAATACCCTACGAAATTGTCCAGGTATGAAAATCCACGGTGCAGATAGTACGGGTATGAAAATCCCCTTTTCCCGCGCTGCCTCCATCATATCTATAGTCGCCGAGGGTACTTTCATTATTTGCTTACATTGTTGTAAACACTATGTCTTTATTATTTTTCATTGTTTACTTGTATTGTTGTAAACACTGTGTCTTTTTTATTATTTTATTTCATTGATAGTGCAAGGAGAGGTTTGCTTCCTGCTTTTATATAATTTGTGGAATGATTCCTGTGGGGTAAAATATAAAGTATACATGATGCATATTTCCAAATGCCCGACTTTTCACCACGTCATACCATGCGTGACCAGTAGTCGACCATCTCTATGCTATCCTAGCTTCATATATGTACCCTCCTCCTCTAACATAATTATATATAACTGTTAGAGATATCTTCACTTTGTAACACATCTGAAGTGGAGATACATCTAACATCAAATCTATTTTCTTTTGCGTCCGTACGTAAGAAGGAAGAAGCCTTCTTAAATCAAAGTCGTGAAGATCTATGATGGCCACTCTATCTTCATCCGTCCAGCAAGTACTGTTTATCAACTTCCGGGGAAAAGATATTCGCTATGGCTTTGCTAGTCACCTTATAGATGCCTTGGAAAGACACAATATCAAGTTCTTCATAGATATGCATGAACAAAAGGGCAGAGACCTAAAATACCTCTTTAAAAGAATACAAGAGGCCACGGTTGCGCTGGTCATCTTATCCACCAGGTAAGGCTCCAATTATACTCAATATAACAACCTTCTTATGTGTGGGAGTATTTGAAAACTCATATCTTTCCTTATTCTTTAGTGTATATATGTCAATAAGGAAGATTTCATTATGTCTTGTATATATCTAGCTAGCTGAAACCCTATACTCATAAGCTTGTATATATAAATGGGTAGCTTGTGCGTAACTAAATAAATTTAGAAAATATCTGCATCTCAAGTTTCTTTGACATGGTATCAGAGCCAAGTTGACCCGATAGAGGATTTTCCATTTTATTGTAGTACGTCCATCTTCTAGTTGTATTTTCGATATGATGAGATATTCATGCCCTCATCTTGAGGAGGTCAAGGTCACAAAGTAGCTGTATATATCTAACATTGCATATAATGGACATGAACATTTCTAATCATTTTTAATTGGTTTTGAACTGAAAGGTCAATGATTATATTTGTTTTTCCTGTTAGCAGGTATGGGGAATCAAAATGGTGCTTGGAAGAGCTAACGAAAATCATGGAACAAGCGGAAAAAAGGGAATTGGTTGTCATCCCAATCTTCTATAAGGTAAGACCAGAAGACGTTAGGAAACAGAAGGGAGTGTTCGGCGATAGGTTTTGGAGACGCACCGAAGAATCCAGCCGTGAAGAGATGGAAAAATGGCAAGTGGCTTTGAAGGCTGTTTCAAACAAGATTGGCTTCACGTTGGACCACAATAGGTAAATTATTCTTTTCTGATTCAATTCCTTTTGAACCCTAGAATCTGATCCTAATAAATTAGACTTCCACCGAACCAATATCCTAAAATTGTTTGTAATTCTTTATTTTTTTTATTAATGTGAATAATTGTTTGTAATTCTTTGGAACAGGGACGCTTTCATAAAGGATTTTGATGTAGCATTATGCTTCAGATATATGTCTATTGTTTTTTTTTGTTTTTTTTTTTTGTCATTTGCCCTTTCCCCTAGAAAGTCAACACTTCACGGATTTAATGATCGGATTATTTTCAAATTAGATTAGATTATATGTATATCACAAAAATGTGAAAAGTGCACTAGATCAGCTTTTCTCCGAGAGACGATAGACGCTAATAATAATCCATCGCGAGCTAGAGCCTAGAGATAGATAGATAATTAGTTTATTCAGAGACAGAAAGAGAGTGGAAGAACGTTCTCGGAGAGATCAGACAAACGCCAAATCATTTTCAGGTTAAACATTACGTGGTAATTGTATATGATCAATTCAATATTGGTATTACTAATACTGGAACATTAATTGACTTGAGACCTTTAAAGTTGAATCCGTACAATCTATCCACAATGCGTTCGTTTATTTGCATTGTTTACTTAGCTATTTTTTCCCTCCTAAAACAAAATTTAATGGAAAATTTTACAAACTTATTTTTTTTTTGTATTTTTTTCCCCTCGTTTTTTGAGTATTTTCTTTCACTTTATGATATATATAAAAACCTTTTTTTTTGAGTATGTTTCATTCAACCAAAACCGTTTTCCAAAACCTTTTTAATTGATCCATGATCTCTTGATTTTGGTTATATCATAAAATTATCTCTACATTTACCTACAAGATGTCACTCAAACTTCTTCTAAAAGCAATGTATTGACATTCAAAACAAAAAGTCATTAAGTGTTTTTAGAAATATCAATTTTAATTTTTTAATTTTTGTTTACGAATATAATTTCTTGTCAGTTTGTTGTATCCAGAGAGACTAAATAAATGGAAAATATAACACTGCTCAAGCTTATATTTTATAAATTATTAGTTCTATTGTTTTGTTTTATTGGTAAGTAATTTTTACTAAAACTTAATTACTGAAATTTATTTATTTTTAATTATTTTCAATGAAATATAGACTAAATTTAATCAAATGTAAAAAAATAAAAATTGTGACTGTTTTTAGTCTATTCTTATTCATACGGAAACAAAATATATATATATATATATATATACACTTTACATACAGCTATACATATATATATAAATTTTTCTTTCACCTAATTTAAAACTTCAAATTGAATTATTGTTTAAAAATTATATAAAAAGCAAATTTACACTTTTTTATTAAACTTATTCTTACATAATATGAATTATTTTTTACTTTGAAAATAAATATACAATATGATTGTGGGAATGTCCTTTAGAAAAGTACATCATGTAATAAACTAATACATTGGCTTGAATGTTTTTTTTTTCTAGAAAAAGTCAAATAATAGGCTAATTATTCAAATATTTTTTGTTATACAGTATTTTGATTAAAATAATTACATGTCTGATTGCTAACGAAATAATCGTCCAAGTAGATTACAAAAATTGTTGTAAAATTTTGTATATGTTTCTTGTGCATCTTCCGCGTCTCTTAACGCGGTATAAACTCAAAACCCGAGTTTGTCTGACGTGGAAAAGAACCCGACAATATGAAACAAGAAATCAAACGGGCTTCAAGCTATGTTAAGGCCCATTACGAAAATGAGCGAAGCCCGATTGATCCGCGAGGTTGACTATATTGCCTCCATTTTCTTCGAAAGATCTCAGTGATTTTCATTCTTTAATTTGACAGATCCGAGGCCAAGTTTATCAAGAAGGTTGTGAAGGAGGTTGAGAAAGTCTTATCCACCATTCAATCTGGTGAAGGAAGAGAAGACGATTGTGTGAAGAAGGTGAAAACATATAACGTTCCATTGGCTTTGCCATGGCCATGGTTTGGCTCGGTGGTTGGACTGATAGGTGCAATGCTCGGCTTACTCACTGAGACTGTTCAAAAGTTTGCCTCACCAGCTATGTTTGTTCTTACTGGTCAGGCTGGCTCTCTTGTGGCTATTTTGAATCGTTTTGCTGATAAGTCTGTTTGAGCGAGCTTTTGTTTCGATTTGGTCTCTTTGTGTTTTTGTGGCTTCAATTGCTAATGGAAATAAATAAATCAAATTTGCTTCACTTTCTTGATGTAGTTTAATGGAAACACAAGAAGGAATAAACATGAATAGAATTCTATCTCCGGACTCAGATTAGATTGGAGAAGGTGAGAATATGAACTAGTGAATCTTCAGGTGAGTTTTTATCAATGTGTTTTGTGTCATCTCTTATTTTTTTCTCTCAAGTATCTACATCAATACCATTGCACTGAAAATTCGAAACAAATCTTTCTCTTCTCTCTTTACCGGACCGGCACTGAGTGAAGCACTCAAGTTACGAGGTTTCAGCAACGTAATCGGCTAGGCATGTTCTGCATTGATCTTTTTGGTATTATCTGAAAACGTTGCTATTCAATGGATAGTTGATGTTCGGCTCGGCTTTTCTTTCTTGCATTGCAATTGGTTTTCTGAGCAAATGGGTAAACTAATTCACAGTTAAAAGAGCAATGTTTGATTTATTTTGCAGATGGTTTATTTGGAGCTCATAGTTAAAGCTAGAAGACTGATTAAGTGTCAGAACTCAGACGTTAAAGCTAGAAGACGATTTAGTGTCAGACTCTTATTATATACAGACTGAAGCATAACCTTATGAACTGTAACCATTGACTGAGTCTGCTGAGCAAACCAACTTGAACTGAACCATTGTTCCTCTCCGGAAATGCATTACATTTTGTCTTGAGATCTTTTCTAAGTCTCGATATCACATCTGTATTTCCTACATGAATTCTAGGTTTGTATGTTACCAACGACTGTTTACTATTAATCACAGAATGAGACAATGGTTGTGCGAACACAATGTTGTGCTGGGTAAGTGTACGAACACAGAACTACAACAAAAAAAAAAATATGTCTCATACTAACATTTAATGATTTAATGATGAGCTTTTAGATTTTACTAAGGATTCATTTGTCTGGATAATGCAGAAATGATTTTACAAACAAACGAATGCAATAAGCAAATGATTCTGTAAAGCAACTCTCTAAATATAATCTGAATTGCACTTTCATACCATAAGAAATCAGTCTTGTTTGATACAAAAACATCATAACAAAGAACAAAGCAAGTGCAAAAATTCTGAGCAGAAAATGATAAAAATGGAAACAACTCAATAGCCACCCTTGAGATCGTTGACAACATCGTAAGGAATGGGAGTAACAGTCTCCAATGTCATACCTTCAACCATGAAACCCGGTTTAGGACCTTTAGGCTGTCTCTTGGTGCTAATAGTCTCACCTCTAGCTTTAGCAGCAGCCTTAAGCACATCGTTCTGCTTCTTCCTGAGTTTAAACTCCTCAGCACACCTTGACTGTTGCACATGCTCCACACGCACATGTATCCTCTTCCTTATGATTCTGTTCCCAATCTAAAACCCAACCCAAAACCTATAATTAGGTCTCCAAGAGATTACACTAATCATAAACACAATACATTCAAAGAGACAGCTTCCACAACAACAAAGTCAATATCAAAACATCACCAACAAAAAGGACCCAAGAAGAAAAGCTTGAATCTTTCGAAGCAATACCAATCCTAAATCTCAGAATTCAAAACAGATAGCTCACACAAAGACGAATTAAACCCTAAAGCAAAGAATCAAAATCACGTTCAAACCCTAATTTCAACAATCAAAGCTCTTCCAAACAGATAAAGAATTGAATAATCAGACCTGTTTGTTGACTTCAACACCAACGGCACGCTTAGTGACATTCCAGATACGACCAGTACGACCATGGTAGAACTTGTGAGGCATACCCTTGTGAATAGCTCCATTAACCTTGACATCTACGTAATCGCCGACCTTGAAGGTTCTGAGGTAAGTGGAGAGTGGAATATAACCCTTCTTCCTGAATGGTCTCGCGAACAGATCTCTTGTTCTCGCTCTCACTCCGTGTCCCGCCGGCATTTTTCCTCTTCTCTCTCACTTCGGTCTCTGGTGAAACCCTAAAAATGGGAGAGTGATGAAACTAGTTTAAAAGGCTTTTTTGTTTATATGGGCCTATTGGGCCTTAAATACTTTTAGGCTTATTTTGTGCAATATGGTGGTGAGACTCTATGGCTTCTATTGCTAATGGTTTGTTTATGGTTAGTTGAATAATAATAGTGAGATGAATAAATAATTTTCCATCGTTCATCTCATATTTTGAGGATGAACAATTTTGAGTTGAAACAAGTCATTTTTCATATATTATGTGGGGTTAAAAAAATTTGGGTTGAAAATAAATTTATTGTAAATGATACATTTTTGGATGAATGGAGTTGAAATCTAGATTCAATTCTTCTAACTTGCTTAAATATGTTAACCATTTGCATATTATATTATTGACATAAAACCACAATTTGTTTGGTGTAGGTTAATTACTAGAGGCTTTGTTTAAAATCTGGTTTGTAAGCATGGGAAAATAAACCAAATTGCACCCAAATAAAATCCTTAATTATTTAGAGTTTTAACTATACATTTTTCATGGCATAAATCTTAGAGTTAAAATGTAAGCATGTTCCTCTATATCATTATCATGCAAATTATTGTTGTATTCATGCATCACCACTTCGAAACAATAAATAAATAAAATCGTTTTTCTATCAGTGTGATTCTTTCATGCTTATTAAAAAAAGTATTCAAAGTCTCTCAAAATCAGTGTTCGACTTTTTTTTATAAAAAAATGGTTAAATTTGAAAAGTATCAAAATCTCTCAAAATCAGTGTTTGATCTTCATCTTCAATGCCTTTGCTTTGTCCTGTTGCTCCTCTAACGGCTTGTGAAGTAGTGCCAGATTTGCATACGACAACATAAACCCAAGATTGCTCAAGCCTAGATACACCCAATAGCATTCATTGATTGTCTCTAAATCTAATATACCTGTTTGAGTCAAGTCCTCCAAGTGGACTAGAAAAAGATGATAAATAACCCTCCAACTGCCATGGCAAATTTTAATAATTATTCTCGCTTTTTTTTTAAGAGCATCCAGAGGATCCTAATAATAGCGTATAATTATCAGAATAATATGAAAATGCAATATTAACTATATAAAAAATGGAAAATTTGTTAGTGATAACAATTGTTAAACTGTCAATCGAAGTCTGGAGTTTAGCAATCGCCTAAGCTAGTTTAGATACACATTTTTTTTTGTATCTCTTCTTTAGCAATCTTGAGTTTGTGCAAATTTGGCACTAACTTCACAAGCATTTTTTTTTTGTATCTCTTGCTCTATGTGATCAGCCCAAAGAATTCCCAGTCTTCGAAGAGTAGCACTGGTGACTAAACAAAACTCCCATCTTTCCCAATGAAGATCCTTTAACACGAGTGTATCAATCACTCGACAACTTGATATGAAGTTTGTAAACACAGTAGCTGAATTCTCTCCAAATCCAATGGCTTCTAAACTGAGGGTCGTCAGATTTACTAGGTTAATGATCTCCAAGGTTTGGTCGGTGCTCGATAACTTGAGAGTAGAGATCGTGTCTTGAACAAAGACTCTCGGAGGGAATTGGTAATCTACCTCGGGAATTTGACCGTAGTCTTTTTTATTTAATTAGACTTCACAAATAGAGTAATAAGGCCATGAATGTTTTGTAGGAATTGAGAATCTATTTTGAACTTTTAGGTAGGGTTGTCACTTGTCAGGATTAATGTAATAATAATTACACGAAATATTGAATTTACATGGGGACATATACGAACTAACATAAGTTATGTGACCAACATCATAACCATCATTTATTGTTTCTCGATTTGACTCGATATTTTTCTCTTTTCCAATGTTAGTAACGAATTAAACTCAAAAGACAAACTACTAGAAATAAAAAATATAAAAGCTAATGAATCTGATTGATTGTCATATGAATTTTTTGTCATTCAATTAGACATAAAAACATATAAAATAGTGATTTGGTAGAAAACCACATGTATGATGAATGACATAACGTTCACGAGAAATATCGAGTCAAATCGAGAGACGGTAAATGATGGTTATGATATTGGTCACATAACTCATGTTAGTTCGTACATGACACCATGCAAACGCAATACTTCGTGTAGGTATTGATATATAAATTTAGTTTAGATATCTGTCCATTTGTTGGACTATACTCTGTGTAGCTGACGATCGTTCTTCTTTTATTTGACGTTTCACAAAATTTTTGGAAAATTGTGTTATGGCTTGAGTCTTGCAAATGTAAGTATGTTCCTCTATATCATTATCTAGCAAAGTAGTGTTGTATACATCAATGTCCACTTCGACACGGCAAAGGATGGGCAAGCACCTTAATACAAAGTCATTGTTTCTCTTTCCAGTGATTTCTGTTTACAAAGACGGATATCCAAAGAAGAGTCTTACGAGTGCAATGCCATGAAGTGGTTCTGTTTACGGGCATTTTCTGGGACAAGCCGGTCCATGGTTTCAGGAGGGATGCCAGAGAGTTCTGAAGGACACAAAAATTATCCCAGATTCATATGAAGAATGAAAGGCGAGTAGTACAAGACACAAGCAATTTTCTTCTTAACCCTATGAAGCACACATTAGAAGGCATGCTAAAGCAAATCCCAAATTGTTTCTTATACTTTAAAGTTTAAACCCCAACTTCGAGTTACTAAGTATGCTCATCACTGAGAGGGCTTTAAATACGGAATCGTACCTTGCGGTTTAAAATTAAAAAGTGGAGGAAGTGGCCGACCATTTGGCAGACGAGCGTTTGGGTCTCTTAGCTCATCAAAGAAAGGGTGGATACAAGCTTCCACCTATGAGAACAGCATGAGACATAGTTATAATGTGTTTAAAGCTTCCGATGCAGATTTCAAACAAAATTGAAGGTGTAATATGTAACAAAGTTAGATAAAACCATGAATAACTTACCGCTGTGCATCTCAAATTAGGAGAATACTGGAAGAACCTACAAAGAAGATCTACTGCTTCAGGTGGCAAGCGTTTTTGGAATACGTGATAAGCACAAACACATGATTCTTGTGCTGTAAAGAAGAGGACCAGAGAGAAGTAGCACCAAGGAAATGATCACTAAAGAGCACAACAAAGAAGAAAGAGAAAAATACAGAGCTATTTCAATCCCACAGTAAAGCTGACACATTGCTTTGTAAGCCAGATGAGTGACACATGAAGTTAATTCATCACATATACTACAATTAACTTTCACTAAACCGAGACAACGCTTGAACAAATACGTACAACTAGAATCCAATTGCTAAAAGCATACCGTATTAGGAGATAATGGATACTAATAGTTGCATACCTTGTGCCAAGGGTGAGGTTTTATTTGGGGAAATTTAAATTCTGTGTAGTTTGGATTCATGCACTTGATCTCCTCCCTTGTTGGTGTACCCAAAACCTGCATGAAAATCAAAAGGCCAGAAAGAAAGAATATAAGAGTTTGTGGTACATTCTCCACTCAAAGTTTATTGCTCTCTGATGATTCATTCAGAGATGAAAGTAAAGGCAGCTGTAGTCTGATATGAATAGACCGACAAAGACCTTTTAATATAAAACTTTTAAACAACTATAAGTCAATGCCAAGCCCAACACATGAGATTTTCTTGTTGTTAAAACTATCCCTAAAAGAATTGATAATTGCTACCTTAATGATTTCAACAAGTTGATCGACTCCACTTTCGCCAGGAAACAGAGGCTGTATAACAAGTTCGCGAGAGCACAAACGACTAAGAGGGTGAAGAAATAGAATAACAAGCATATAGCTAATGCAAACATAGCGCTTCAACCTGTCCAAGAAGCAGTTCAGCCATCACACAACCTGTGGACCATATATCTATTGCAGTTGTGTATTCGGTGGCTCCAAAAATGAGCTCTGGGGCACGATAGTATCTTGAACAAATGTAAGAAATATTGGGTTCTCCTTTCACCTGTGGAGGACGACACTTCATAATCCAAGCATAGATCAGGAAAACTAAACCACTAAGAGCTATAGCTGATAAACTTTACCAACACTTTTGCGCTCCCAAAATCACAAATTTTTAGCTGATGTGTGTGTGGATTCACCTGCACAACACAATAGATGTAAAGCCAAATATAAGTTTGTTTAATTAAAATAGAGCACATTTTTTTTAGACAAACTCTAATCAATTGCAGGTACGGTGAGCCTAGACAATTAAAACATATTGAAGAAGTTCATTCTTTGTAAAATCACAAAAAATTTGAACCAACGAACTGACCAGCTCAAAACCAAAAGTATTTCCCAGATGTTAGATTTTGGCATCTTGGTTAAAAACTAATATCATTTCCAGTGAAATTAACTAGAGAACAGAAGCCCAGTACCACTTTGAGGATTAAAAATAAACATCAGTGAGATGTATACATAGCCTCACTGCTTAAACCCTCCGGGCATGTTATAACGAAATAATTATCAAGTAAGCATTCAACCTACTATAAAATTATCGAATTTGTAGAAGTTAAGAACAGTGTCCTAGATTTATGTATACTAGTAGTGCCATTAAAATCAGTACGTCTATAAAAAGAAATCAAACAAAAGTAGCTTACAGAAAAGAAGTGAACACTGTCATCAACTTCTTTTCAGTGAGAAACAAAGGGAACTTACTAGCAGGTTTTGGGGCTTAATATCACGGTGACACATACCACAGCAATTATGAAGGTAAGCAAGTCCCCTGCAAATCTGTACCCATCAACATAAAATCCTCAAGAAATCATCGGAGAATATCCAATCAATTATCAGGTTCGATAGAGTTCAATAGAATTTTAAGTGCTACTTTCTTCGCGTAGAGACAATCAATTATGTTCAACACTCAACAGTTCCAACCTCTAACGGAAAAGCACAATAGTAACAGAGGCAATAGGAACTTTGCGTTCCAGTTTAAAATCTATCTAGCAAACAAGAGGTAATCTCCAACCTATCAACTCTGGAATGAACCACAAGAAACCAGCTGCCACATATCATTAAAGAAACAGAATGTATTTTAAAAGTTGAGTGAGTACTTATGATGCACCTGATAAGTGTAGAGTTTGACATACATCAATGGCATCAGCTGGTTCATTCTACTGTAACTTCTTGCAGTACGATTGACAGTCTCGGGAACAAATTCAAGGACAAGATTTAGATAAACCTCTTCATTTTCTGTTCTTGAATAGAAGCTATGCTTTAAACAAACGACATTCGGATGGTCTAGCATTTGCATAATCTGTAATTCCCTGTTCTTGTAGCGCTTGTCTTGTAGAACCTTTTTGATGGCAACAACCTCCCCAGTTTCTCTGCATTTAGCCTACCACAAGGAAACATTAAATGTGTGGGAATCTTAACCAATAATAAAACAACAAGAAAGATAATCTAACTTACTTGAAAAACCATTCCGAAGGAGCCAGTTCCAACAACGTGTTCTGCTATGTAACTGACTGTCTGTCAATCAAATATATACATATGTACAAGAATCAGTTAGATAGCCACGTCTCACTAACATTCTAGACACAAAGTTTTTCTAAGCATCTAACCTGTCTTGATTGACCATTTCGTCCACGGAGTGTGGTTCTAATCACATGGCCAGTTTCTGCACCAGCCCCATCAATGATATCTGGTTCACTGTCCTGCAACAAAGCAAAAACACCAAATAAATTACGTCATCAAATAGATGGAAGCATGAGAAGGAAGATATGCTAGAACAGTTCAAGGAGATATAAACATCGAAAAAAAGAAATACAAAACAAATAAGCATATCAAGGCTCACTCTCACCTCAACAGACTCTGTCTTGTCCCTTATTCTCATCTCACGCATATCCCTGTTCAACCAATCAACTGAACTAGAAGAGTTATTTATATTTTTGGCAGATCTCGAACTGCCTACTCCATCTCCCATGTGAGATTCCATGGTGGTTTTTAAGAAGATAACACTTGCTAACATTTGATAACACCAAAATCTTTAGCAATTTGGTGTCCTATCCCATCAAAGCCCCAGTCTTCCTAATAGAATTTTAAAGTCGTTTTCATAAGAAAAAAAGGTGCAAGTAGTATTTACCCACAGGATTTGGATCATTGGAAAATGATAACATAAAACCAAAGTCGCCGGTGTTTTTCCAATATGTTTCCATGTATCTAAACTCTTAAGCAGAATAACAGTAAAAGAGGAACATGCAAACTCACAAAGAAAAAAGTTATTACAAAGTCCAAAGGCTCACAGTATGCATCAACATGTCTGAAGGAAAACTGAATTTCTACTGGCAATAGAAGAATCTACACCATATTATAGCCTTATGAGAATACATTCTAGAAATTAGACATTATACATAGTACCTATATATATTTGCAGAACCACCAAGTACTTCTTTATAGCTTGTACACCAGCATGAATATCCACAAGCACAAGCAGTAGAAGATACAAATAACTGAGTGTTCTAATCTCTCTAGTTGCTTAGGTTCCTTTCCAAAGGAATCAAAATAAAAGATACCTAATTTTTCAAGTTTTACAATAATTTTCTACTGAAGTTATTATGATCATAGAAACACGAAAAGTCAACAACTTGGTATTAAAAATTTCAGCTTTTTACAAAGCACTAAACTTTGGAATAGTGATGATACACTGATGATACTACATAGGACTAAAACTAAAGAAATCCAGATGAATTATGACAGAAACGATCTATATGTTCCACTAAAACTCGACAAAGCTTGTTCCTTTAAACTCAGTATCTTCAATTACCCAAAGAAAAAGACAAACCCAGAAATTGAGTAAAGTAGTTGTTACTCAAGAACCCTAAATTACTCCAAAAAGAGGTCAAAATTGCACATTTACAAGCAATTCGAAGATGATTGATCACCTTAAGCTGAACTGAAGAATCGGAAAGTAAAATCACGCATATGATGATCGTCAATGTCTTCTTCGTCGTCGTCTTTTTCTTCAATTTATACAAAATTGAGAATTTGTTTTGGTGATGAATCCACTAATTGAAAAAGGTGATCACTTTTTTATTTTACTTGTAGAGAGTTGTCTCTGGTTTCTTTTTGTAGATTTCTTAATTCTTACCGTTTTGAATCAAGAGACACGTTCCAGAGATTTTATAAAGAGAATTTATAATAAATGACTATAGATTCGAAAAGATTTAACAAAATAACTATGAGGTGAATAGTCCTTGTCGAGTAGTGACCTTGTCGATTTTCTCTGATTTGACGACCTAGCTTTGTTTGATTTAGGGTTTACCTTTTCTGGTAAAATTCTCTCTGCTTTTGTTCCTGAATTCAAGCTTCTTTTCTGATTTGTGATCTACGATTATCTGCAAGTTGTGTTGTCTGCAATTTGTTGGAACAATTCGATTGATTTTTATCTTCTCATTTTGTCGTATGATTTGGTGTTTTTGGTTTCGGATGTGATTGTCGAAGAGAAGATGAAGCGTAAAAGAGGACATAAGAAAGGGAAGAAGTCTAAAAAGTCCAAATCTATTACTGAAGAAGGGAACTTGAATGAGTCAACCGAAAACGTGGAGAATCAAACCTCGGAGCAGAGTTCTGAAGGTCCTGCTGAGTGTGAGAATAGTGAACATGAATCTAAAATGGAGGTTGATGCACCTTCTTCTACTGAGATTGGTAATTCACCTATTGCTAGTGTAGATCCAGCTGATAATGTAGCGGCGAAGTCAATGGGACGTGTTAAGGTTAAATTGAAGACCTCAAAAGCACCAGAACCAGATGAGACATGGCGTGATGATATTGATAAGAGTAGTTCTCAAGTGGGGTCTGAAAAACCTGCTGAGAAAAAGGAGGAATTGGTTCCTCCGCGTTTGCCTGAGAGAAAGCCAGTGTTTCTGAATGTTTACAGGAAAACTAAGGGTATAAAGATTAAGTCTTCGAAGAGTGCTGATGCTGTCAAGGGGAAAAGGGGATTTTCATACCCGTACTATTTGCACGTTGTATCAAGTATAGGGTATGAGATTCAAATTTTATTGAAGTTTAGGTTGTAAAATACCCTACAAAATTGTTCAGGTATGAAAATCCACGGCGCAGACAGTACGGGTATAAAAACGACGTCGTTTTGATACACGTCAGCGTACACGTGTACGATGACTCAGCACCGTAACGGAGTTGACAAACACCCGTTAGATTGACTCCGATTTTTGCACGTTGTATCAAGTATAGGTATGAGATTCAAATTTTATTGAAGTTTAGGTTGTAAAATACCCTACGAAATTGTCCAGGTATGAAAATCCACGGTGCAGATAGTACGGGTATGAAAATCCCCTTTTCCCTGCTGTCAAGGCCCAGGATGCAAATGCACCTCAAAAGGATACAAAAACGCTGGATGAGAATCCTCAAGCCAGTAAGAAAGAGCCAGAAAGTGCACCAATTTCTTTGCCGAAAGAGGAGAAGAAGACTGACCAAAATTCACGATACAATAAACAACAACTGGAGGATTCTCTTACAGTATGCTCAGATTAATCTACCAAATTTGGTACGAATAGTTCGAGTTGAATATCATGTCTAACTTACCTTCTTTGTGTTGGTGTCATACTGCTATAGGTGATCAAGAAGATTATGAAGATGGATGCTGCTGATCCCTTTAATGCTCCTGTGAACCCAGAAGCTCTTGGAATTCCTGTAAGTGCAGATTTTAGCTTCATCTTTATTAGATAGAGGCACACTGTTTTGGTACATATTAAGCTTGGCTTCTGAAAACTCAACTATTAATATACATCTCACATATCTCCATCACATGCTTATGTTGAACTTCCTAGGTAAAAAACTCTATATATTTTTGCAAAGCCTTATTACTCTGCTTGTGAACAAACGTAGAATCAGTTTGGTCTCAGTTGATAAGACCTAGAAATGCTATAGTACATGAACCAGTCCTATTAGTTAGCTCAGCGTATGGGTCTCATCTTTCTCTTTCCGTATGTGGACAAGGGAAGGATACTCTTTTAAAATGTGTGTAAGTGGACCAGATTGGCTGTATTAGTATACAGAGATTTTTGTCTCTCTCTGTCCTTGAGGGATATAAATTTTCAGTTCATATGGATTAACTTACATTTGTCTACCAAAGACGAACAGTACCCTCTTATCACCTAATTAGGAATATCTTGACTCTGTCATCTTATAATTTTTGACAAACTTAGACTCTTAACAGAGATGGATAATGAATTGTAGTATGACTTTCTTGTCCCGGTCGCTAGACAGTAATATGGGATATTTTCTCCTATACTTTTCCCATCTATTCTTTGCTCCTTGCTTGTAAAGGGGTTTCAGAATTGTTGACTAACACAGTCTACCTGTTTTCTGGTCTTGGTATTAGGACTATTTCGATATTATCAAGACACCTATGGATTTTGGAACAATATGCAATAATTTTGAAAAAAGCAACAAGTATATGAATTCTGAGGACGTTTACAAGGATGTCCAGTACATTTGGAATAACTGTTCTAAGTACAATAAGAAAGGTGATTATATTGTGGATTTGATGAAGCGAGTAAAGAAAAATTTCATGAAGTACTGGACTGCAGCAGGGTTGTACACTGAATCAGCAGGTATTACCAAATTTATCTTCTCCAGCTTTTGACTTTTGGGCTGAACGCTGAAGCATTGTTAAATTGGTAGCTACAGCTCTCTCCATAGATAGTTATGCTTCTGGTTCCCCTTAGGCTTATATAGTTGACACTTGAACATATTCAGAAGCTTCTGCTTTTGAATCACCATGTGTGTCTGACAAGGGTCATTGCTGATTTTAGCTAATGAAATGTCATTGTTGAAATTCATATGGCCTCATTTTAGTAATAAAAGTATAAGAAAAACAAACTTAATTTATTAATAGATCCATTCAAAGCTGTTAGACGCGCGGATGAGTTAATCTCGAATGATTGGGCATGTAAGCCTTTGGTTATGATTACCGCTTTACGTCTAGTTTGCATGGCTAATCACTTTCGATTCTCTTATGAATTTCAATTTTAAAAGATGTGTAGACCCATATGTAGGAAGTGCATGTGGCCATTAAAAAAAAAAAAGAATTCTATGCGAAAGAAAACTATCAGGAGAAAATGCCAATATGTGGAGCGATACACTATTTGCAATGTAACTATTAGCTATGTGTTTTGGTCTGAGTAACTGTGTTTTACAAATTAGCTTATTTGGTTTCTTTGGTTATCAGCAGAAAATACAGAGGATGGTGGGAAGTCATCCACCAAAGGCAGTCAATCCAAGCAGAAGAGCCATAAACGCCATGGGTATGTCGCTGAAACGTTTTTTCCTCTGATACATAGGGCCTCATATTCAAATGTGTGTACTTGTGGTCAACCTTAGCCTGAGTTTGGTTTCAACCGTGTCTCATAAATCTTCTAGGTTATAGCCAAGAGGTTTTCTTTTACAAAGCTACTGTAACAAGATCTGCTTAACCATAGCCAGTCTTAGTCAATGGTCATTAAGCAGACATTGTGTAGCTGAATTTGGTTTTCTCTTTTGCCAAAATGTATTTCCATTCTTTTTTTACTGATGGTTACTATAGAGCTTGTGCCCTTCTTGTGCCCTCCAAAAGTGGGATTCGGATTAGGTTTCATTAAATAGTCATCATTTTCGTTTGCAGAAGGCACCACAAGAGTGATTGCATGTGTGCGATATGTGTTTTGAAGCGACGTAAAAGAGAACGTGAACGAGATTCTCAAGGACATTCTGGAGCACAAGAGGTTAGTAATGTGTTTTGTTTACAAAACGCACACATATATCTCTTGGTGTGCAAGTGTTTATGTGCAAAGAGAACCCACACACAACTCCGGTTTTGACTTCAGACGGCTGCAATGTGTAAACTTTGCAACAAATTTTAACTTTGATATCTCTGTTGAAGGAATCTTCACCTGCGGGAAGTCCGTCTGTGGATAATTCATCAATAAACATGGGTGAGGAGCAGGACATGGATATTGATGTTGACAACAAAACCGAGATCGTGGAACTAGATAGTCCGGTGTCAAAGAGACAAAGAGTGAATGAAGAT